CAATTTAGTTCTTATTGTAGTTTTTTTTTTTTTTCTTTTGAACATTTTGGATGTGAAGGGACAGTTGGGGGTCGTTGGAGGCAATGTTGGCAAATTGAATGCACTGATTTTTGTTTTGGTTTGAGTGTGACCCATTTAATTAATGTCCCCAACTAATGTTTACAGCTCTTTTTCTCTTTCTAGATGCTAATTAGACAATTATTTAGTCAATATATTTTAATTAAATTAATAAATTTCTGTTGAACTTTAGTTTAGTTCATTTTTTATCTGTCTATTTTTAACTTCTATTCATTTACTTTCAATACGTCTATTTTGTCTTTTTTAATCTTTTAAAATTGTCAATTTGATATTTATTTATAAAATTTTAATATAATTATTTATTGAAACTTTTTAATACAAATTTATGGTAAATAAACTATCCTGTTAAAAAATTATGATAAAAAAATGAGATTAGAATAGTCACTTTTTTAAATTACAAGGACGAAAATAGATGCTTCAAGTACATGAACTGAAATACATAAAATTTGAAAATACATAGACTAAAATAAACTAAAGCCGAAAATGTATGGACCAAAATAATATTTAAATCTAAAAAAATTGGTTTAACCCTATTTCACTTTGTAAATCTTTCAAAAGTTCAATGTGATTGGTTGATGCATGCATGTTAAATCGAGTTTGTTGACCTAGCAAGACCTATTTGTTAGTATTAAGTCTTGTTAAATTATCACCCATTAGTTATGCTATACGACAATGTTGAAGTAACAGTGTTAAACGATAAACGCTTATTATAATCAAAATTGAAATGTTCAAATAATTTAACACATATATATTGTTATTAAAGTGGGTAACAATTTTTTTTAAAATAAGAGGATTCAAGGTCTTTCATTTTTGACATGTTAGCTTATAATAATTTACTTTTTGCATAAATTAAAAAATTCTCATCGTTGATCAAATTTAATTTGCATTGAGATCCCTTTCGTTGAGATTATAATCTAAAACGAGTTCCATCATATGATAATCAAGGTTAATTAAACTTTCATTTTGGATAAAAATTTATCATATGTGAGGTAGTAAAGCTCACCTCGACTAGTACATATGGGGTGGAGCATACTTCGAAATTCCAAATTTTGGATCGTGTTCGGTATAGTTCTTTAGGATTCACAAGTTACATTCCTTAGATTCCTTACAAATAGCGGAATCTTCCTCGGAATTAGGTAGGTGAGATAATCTTTGCTCAGCTCAAAAAAGTACACCATGTGTTTCGGATAAGGGTGCCCCATCTTTATACCATCTTTCAATCACAGTTTCCCACACCGACACTACTTCAATCTAAATATTAATTTAAGCATCAGAGTGTGTTGGATAAATATATCCTATTCGTACAAGTTCTTTGTGTAAGTCGTCACCCCCACTTCAGTGACCTCCCGTCTCATATTCGAAGTCAGCAAAGTTCACAATGTAAATCACACATCAACATTGGTCATGGTCTATTTAGTAAAAATCACGACCGAGTGATGTAAACTATAGTTTATATTAATAGAAGTATGAATTTATTTTAGACCATAGTTAAAAAACAAAATTACCAACAGCTTTTAACCAAGGGGTTTTCAAAAAATGACTGCGTTTATATCCCATTTTTGTCAGATTTGTTTATCTTAATTCTTTAAAAAAATATATATGTTAATAAAAAAAATAATAATAATAATTTTAATTTTTGAGTCTATAAACTTTAAAAAAAAATAACTATTTTGATTTTTGCTATATTTATCATCTAGGATCCACTTATCTAATACTCATCGCTAATTAGCTATGTGACTTAAATATATGTTGACGTTAATATATTAATAAACATACTTGAAAGCTCATTTTGAGTTTGTTAAAAGTAGAATAAATGTAAGGATCACGTTAAAATAAATATACTGATTTTCAATAATTAATTGTTACTACTAATTAGTAATTAAGCAACTTTGAATTAATTATAATTAATAAACAATCTAGTATATTTAAGTTGCAATCAACATGCAAATGCAATTGCAATAATCCATGAACATCAATGATACCTAATTAATTGTATGTAGTGTGGTCCAATTAAAATAAATCTATTAATTGTAAGTAATTAATTATTAATATTATTTTTTTCCTAGTACAAGTACAACAACTACAATATTTTGGTCAAAGATATATATCTTAACTAAATATTTAAATTCAATCAATAAACTAATTACAATTACAAGTGATAATTTTTATTAATTTCTTTTTACTTTGTGGTGAATAGTCATTCATGAGCAAAAATTAACTACTCAATCTTAATTCAATTAATAAAATAATTATTAATTATATAAATATATAAATATGAGAACTAATTTGAATTGATTAATTAGTCTAAATTCAAAATATTTAATTATCTTTAATTGGTTATTTAAATAATATATATATATATATATATATATATATATATGTGTGATTTATAATTAATTATTTCGTTATATATATAGCTCTACAAAACCCTTCAGAATGGAAGGTAAATAATTATGTTTATATTTTTAAAATGTGTATTTAATAATCATGAAAACAATAATTATATAAATATAGTTGTATTGTTGTCATCGAAAACCAAATTTAGTTTGAATAATTAGACACTTTTTTTAGTAGAAAAACTTTGGACATGGAGATTAAACTTTCAGAAAAATAGCAAGATCTCTTGAGTGCAGTGTTGATGTTGACGAATAATTAAACATTATTGTTTGTGGAACATAAAATCATTCTATTTCAATAAATTCATTGGATAAACATCCATGAATTCAAATATGATAAAACAATTTTTTTTTTTATTTTGGAACAAATTGGAAATGATAACAAGAAATTTATTTTGGTTGTTTCTAAAATCTCTGTACTTTGAAAATTTTTCCAAAAAAATGAGAAACAAGAAACATCGAAAGTTACAAAATGCTTACATTTCTTCATAAAACTAAAAACGAGGAACAAAAAACGAGAACATTACCAACCAGGCTATAGATATTCTCTGAGTCAAAGCTCAATTCTCAATTGCAACGTTAGCTTTTCTCTTTTTTTAGATCACCATCCATCCAGTACTTTTGTCTTGCTCGCTAAAATTGAAGAATCTTTTTTAGTAATATTATAAGCAAATAAATCAATCAAATTATAAATTTATTAACAAAATAATAGAAAGAGATATACAACAACAATATCAATATTCAATTTTTTATTATTTATAGAACAAAAATTAGTCATTATATGTTTAGTTAACTATTTCTCTAAGGGATTTTTTCTTTTAATTTATTTGCACACGTAATCTATTTTTAATAATAAAAAATTTTGTTATTCCTTAAATATCACGCATATATAAATAGTTACGTGATATTATATTACTCAATCACAACTATCAAAAATAATGTTTCAAAAAAACTACAAAGCCTAGGTCTTAAAACATTAAAGTGGCCACGTGTCACATCTGAATTTTACATATTTCTTATAAGAGATAACTTTATTTCTTGTAAGAAAGAACTTTGCAAGTACAAGCAAGCATTAAAATATACATTAATTTCAAATTGTTTATTGAGAATAAATTGGATGACATAGACAAAATAATTCATAATCTAAGTGCGTTTGGTAGCGTTCGTATTTCTTGTTTTTCATTTTTCTATTTCTTGCTTTCTCTGTTTCAATCAAGAAAAATATAACTACATTTGATATCTATTCATTGTTTCATCTTTTATGAAAACGTGTTTGGTAAGTACTATTTCTTATTTCTGGTTATTAACAATTTTAGATTAAAAAAATATGTATAATTTTTATATGAAAATTAATGTTTCAAACTAAATATTCAAATTTTTTATATTTAATATGCATTTTTTGAAAAATGATTTTATCTATGTTTTAGAAAAAAAAATCTGGAAACAAGAAATAAAGTGCGCCTTTGACATCGTCTCCCCCTCTTGTTCTTTTTCATTTTTTTTTAACTTTACCTCTTGTTTCTTGTTTCTTGTTTTCTCTTTTTAATAAAGAAAAACATAATTTCATTTGGTAATTATTTCTTGTTCTTTATAAGCAAGAAGGATAAAATGATATTTTTATTTATTTTTGAAAAAAGTTTTGGAAATGTGAACAAGAAACAAGAATCTTGATTTTGTTGTTTCCAAAATTTCTATAAAATTTTGGTAACGTGTCTGAAAAATGATAAACAAGTAACATAAATAGTTATAAATGCTTAAATCTTTCAATAAAACTTGAAACACTAAACAATAAACAGCAAATGTTACCAAATGGGCCCATAATTTTGTTGTTTCTAAAATTTCTACACAATTTTGAAACGA